CAATCGATTGTATATATGGTTTCCATGAAAGGTCAGTAGTAAGCGATAATCCAAAAAGACGTAAAGAGGAGGACTCAGTAAGAGGATTGCCATTCATTAATATAGGAATGTTGACTATATTACGGTAGTTGTTTGCAGTAAGCAATTGGGTTTTTTTAGAGTTAAAATTCACAAGCCACTGTGAACCCCAATCTATTACTGAAGTGAGATCAGATTCAAGATCAGCTGCTTGTTCTAGGCGATCGAAAAGAGAAGACTTTTTGTCAAGACAGGAGTATAAAGTTGAGTCATCAGCAAAAAGAGCTACTTTAGATGAAAGGTTGTCAGGAAGATCGTTTATGTAGATAAGAAACAAAACAGGGCCCAGGATGGAACCTTGGGGAACCCCAGAAGTTACTGGAAATAAAGAAGAGTTTTGGCCTTCAAGGATGACTTTAATAAACCGATTAGAAAGAAATGATTTGATAATCTCAAAAACTTTCCCAGAAACACTATATGAAGCAAGCTTATGGAGAAGACCAGCATGCCAAACTTTGTCGAAAGCTTTAGATATGTCGAGAGCAATAGCCCTAGCCTCACCGCCTCCATCTAATGCACGATAAAATCTTTCAGTTACAGCAGTTAGCAAGTCGGCCGTAGAGCGAGAGGATCGAAAACCGTATTGATTGTCTGACAGTAGTTTATTTGACTCAAGATGAGATGTGAGGAATTTGTTGATCAAAGACTCAAAGACCTTGCTAATAACAGAAAGAAGACTGATCGGACGATAATTGGAGGGGTCAGAATTTTCTCCAGAGTTTTTGAATATTGGAACTACAGATGCCATTTTTCAACAAGCAGGAAAACAAGACTCAGTCAAACACTTGTTAAATAGTTTAGAGAGAATTTAAGAAAGTTCTGGAGAACAATTCTGCAAGACTGTGACAGGAATGTTGTCTGGACCACAAGCTGTAGACGAGTTTAATTGAGATATGACTTTAGCAACAGAAGCCGGAGTGATTTGAATGTCTAACAATGGGTCAACCTGTTTGACTGGAATGGAAGGAAGAGAATGTCCATAAGATTCAAGAGTGGAATTAGAAGAAAAGTTCTTTGCAAATAGTTCTGCCTTATCCTTGGGAGAGTTAATAAGATCAGTCCCATGAATGAGAGATAGAATGTCAAATCTACTCTTGTTAATAATGCTGTTGAAGATTTTCCAAAAGTCTTTAGAGCCTAACTTCTGCGATAAGATGCGAGATTTAGTGAACTGAGAATAATGGAGATTAGCATCAGAATGCACCTTTTTACATCGATTTCTTGCAATAATAAATAGCCGTTTGTTCTCAAGAGAGTTGTTCTTTTGAAAAAGATGAAAAAAATGATTACGATTAGATATAGCAGCCGCACAAGAAGGAGAAAACCATGGAGTAGAATGAGGCTTGACTTGAAACCGACGCGAAGGAATAAAAGCTTCCATTCCAGCCTGAATCCAGGAGGTTACGTAGGAGGCGCATTTGTCAGCTGAGAGAGAAAAAACATCAGCCCAAGGACCATCACGAAGAAAATCACGAAAGGAATCCCAGTCAGCTTTAGGGTAGTAGTAGGTGGTGCGATGATAAGGTGAGCCCAAAAAAGAAGTACGAGAAGAAAGATTTATAGAGATCGTTGCATGGTCAGAACCACCTAAACGAGGTTTGTTCTACGAGTTAATAATTTGATATTTAATGGGTTTCCGTATTTAGCAGAATGGTGGAACAACTAATTTAAAGTTACTTGTAGAGCGGTAGTTGCAACATGTCAATGTTAGCTATTACGTTTTTCAGTTTGACGATATAACGGTTGTATTTATAAAATTAAATGACTTATTTTATTACTATTGTTAATAATATCTTTACCATTATTGTTATCATTATTGTCACTATTATTGTTAGGTGTTTACCTATATTATTAATTAAACTATTTGTAAACAAACTTAAAATGTAAAAACATTATCTAAAACTTACTCACTGATTCTAATATATAATAACAAGTAGTTATTAAAAGTTTTAAATAATAAATTTTAAAACGCCACAGAATTGAAAATGGCTTTTTTTTTCATGAAGTTGGCTTTTTTAGTACAAATAGCAAATATTCGTTGACTATATAAAACTTCGCGATAAAAAGCCAAAGGCGCTTTAAAAATTATTATTTAAACTTTTAACTCAGTAAAATATCATAAAAGTGGTTAAGATATTAAAATACCTCAAACTATTTTGTGAGGTTGTGCTGTTACAATAATATACATAAAATAACAGAGTAGAATTAAATAAAGTAAAAAATTTTATTCAAAAATGTTTACTGTTTGGAAATACAAATTCAGAATTATGTTTTTACTTATAATACGAATCCAGAGTAGTGTTAGTTTTTTTCCCTACTTTTAATATCATAAATAGTTTTTTATCTTTATTTTAATGCCAGAATCATAAAAACTAGTAAAAATAATATTTAATATTTTATTAAAATGAAACGATTAAAATGCCTTAGTTTGTATAAAATACACCTTTAAAATCTATATAGGACGCTGCGTTATTTGATAAGGCGTTTTAATCGCATACTTAGTATCTTATTGATTAAGTTTTTGACCGCATACTTCGCACCTTATTTAGCACCTAAATTTCACGCTAATTTTATTGTCTTTTTTAAGTATGTGTTTTATTATATAACTTTTAAGTAGTAGTTTATTTAAATTTATGCAAAAGCGTCGGATAGTAAGCATTATTTAATTGGCGTTTGGTAAGGCGCCGTACTTGAAGTTATTATTTGTTATTTTTTAATCATATTGAACAGTATAAGAGTATATAGAACTATATGTAAAAAAATATCTTATTGGCATGACACTTTCAGGTATTTTGCAAACTCCAAAATTAAGTATGTTCATGCTTATGTCAAATGAGAATGCTAACTTTAAAATGTTTGCTAATTTTACCTCCAGTGAGACTCTCACTGAGAGTGTAATGAGTTTATAAAAAGCCTTTTTTGATCTTGGTTGGGTAAAGTTTTCACCCTCCCCAAAATTAGGGTGTTCTAATTCTCATTTGACATAAGCATGAAAATACATAAGTTTGGAGTTTAAATATGACACTTTTGAGCATATTGCTTGAAAGTGTCATATCTAAATCATCTAAACTCCTGTTGCAGCAGGATTTTAGATGATTTTTTTTTGGAAAAGAGTTCTTAATTCAAATCTAAGGCAAATTCTCAAATGAAAATGTTGTGTAAAATATTATGGTAACTTGAGTCTGTGAAAAAAAATACCCAAAAATGTTTGCCACACCTTCCCCAAATGCGAGGGCTATAAGTTGGTAAGATTTTTTTTTTTAATTTTAATCTTAAACTGGTTTTTAACTTTATCTACTAGATAAACTAGTATTCTTTTAGTGTTTGAAATTAATGACCATGTAAAGTTTCTTTCCTCCAACAAATGAGGGATTGTAAATTTTGCATTATCATAACTTTTCAAAAACTTTTCATTTTGCATTATCATAACTTATCAAAACCTATTGTTGAATTTAATTTTAAATTAAGACAGTAAAAAAGTATTTTATTTACTAGTTTTGCTTACATTTGCAGTAGGTGTACCAATTATGTTTGGATATTTTTGTTACCAGGCTCAATTCAAAACAATTTTTTACATACCATTTCTCATATAACATAAGCATATATAGACTTAATTTAAGATTGCAAAATTTAAAAAAATACTATATCTAAAACATCAAAAAAAAATTTTATTAAATTTAATAAAAAAAAAAAGATATAATTGATTCTAAAATAAAGAATAAAATAAACTAGAGTAGTTAGAGTAAAATTAAAAGAACTATTAGAATAAAATTAGAAGAACTATTAGAATAAAATTAGAAGAACTATTAAAGCAAGAAGAACTAAAAGTAAAACTAGAAGTAAGACTAGAGTAGTTAGAATAAAATAGACTAGAGTAGTTAGAGACTAAAATAGTTAGAGAAGCTTGGACAGTAATCTTTTTTATTTCCTGTACCTAAATTTAATCCTAAATAATCTTATAAGAGTTGCTACCCCAAGATCAAGTAAACTGAAAGGCTCAATCACAAAAGAATCATATTTTTTTTATTCTTACCAAAAACACAAATACGAGAACATTTCCAGGATTTTACATCTTATAAAGATTTTCGTGTCTCATTTAAGTGTCACACTTGATTGTGCAGATTTTGTTGAAAGATGGGAGGGGGGGTAGGCAATGACCCTCTTAGATATAACCACCCCCTCCCAACTGTTGTTAACCCTGATTATACTAGAATGTATTTCTGGCAGACTGGGAAAAAAATTCAAAATATTTTCTAAAATTAAAAACAAATCTCCTAAAATTGAAAGGCTTAAAAGTAATATTTTATTAAAACTCTTTTTTGAAAAATTACTTTTTATTCTTATCTGTTTCTAATGAAGTGGCCAGTCCAGTTTAAAGACTCTAGACTAAACAGTTTAGAGACTCTAGGCTAAACAATGTCATTATAAAATGTGTAAATATGTTATTACATTTGTAAATATATAATTGTTGGTATAAAAATGAAAAAAGTTGTAATAATAGTAATAAAATCAACAGATTTGCAGTCCTTAAAACTATTGGGTCCCAGAACTTTCTTACTCTACCCTCCCTTTTAATCTGGTCATGTGAAATGGGAGTTAAAAATGTATATTTTGGCTCAAACACTGTTGTATTATTTCAAATTGTTTAATTTATTTACAATTAACTAAAAGAAATAAAAAGAAATTAAAACTATTTTTAAATTACTTATTTAATATGCTTATATATTTGAAATGTGTTCCAGTATAAAAGTTTTGAATCGCATTATTTTATTTTATTCTTTTTACGTTGATTGTGTTATTTATCCTTAGATTACTTCTTTATTTACACATTTTATAAGTTAGTAGCTTTATGTGGTAGTTTAGTTGCAATCTAAGTTAGAAATTAACTTTAATTAGCTATGTTTAATAATATTTTGATCTAGATGTCTCAAAATAGCAAATTAACTAAAACTTGGTATTACAAAAATGCATTCGATGGACTTCCTAAGGAAGATGATTTTGAAATGAAAGTTACTGATCTTCCTACAATAGCTGATGGGGGTAAGAGTTTTTTTGTTTAAAAGTTAAATGTATTTGTTATTAATGATTTGGGGTTTGCAATTTTTATGGTTATAGAGATAATGTTTTTATCATTAAAACCCAAAAATTTGGGAAAAACAATATTTTGAATATTTTTTTTATAATATTTTTGAATTATCTGTATATACAACTATATCAAATCAGAACTCGAATTAAGCATATTGCGATTGAGAATCGCAATTACTTTTTGCACCTTCTGGATTATTTCTTTTTTTTTTTTTTTTTAATTAGGCATTTCTTCAGCAGTCTTTAACCACATCACGCTAAATTTAACTAAATTAATTAAAAACTAAATTTAGAAGTAAGAGATCATATGCTCTTTTAAATTTAACTTATTTTAATAATTTTCTAAAATAAATTATTTTAATAATTTTCTAAAATAAATTATTTTAATAATTTTCTAAAATAAATTGTTTTTATAGTTTTCTAAAATAAATTATATTTATTTTCTAAAATAAAAGTAGTAAATTCTTGGCTTTCACAGAGAGATATAAAATAATTAAAAAAAAATTGATTAAACTATTTGTAACTTATATGTTAACACACACAGCTTTTTTTCTAACAAGATATTTTGAATAGTTGGTGAAAAATGCAATGAAAAATGCCTCTTTTTTATAATATTTTATTTATAGTGATATCAAGATACTATTTTCTAAACTTTTAATTTATTTATTTTTATTTATTTAAAAACAAATCTATTTGAACAGAAGAATTTTAGTTTTCTAAAAATCTCTTATTTAAATAATCTTAAATTTGAAACTTGAAATTTTAAAAAGTTTGATCAATAAATAAATCCAAATAGAAGTACACTATCCACAGTGAAGAAGTAGGATAAACTTTTAAATTGCAAGTTGAAGCTTAATTTAAATGTGTTCAATGAAATTAGATTTAAATGTGTTTGATGTAATTAGATTAAAATCCAGCTTATGTAACTGATTTAAAAAGCGAATAAACCAAACAAAATTATTTTTTATGACCTGGGTCAAACCAAGTACCATATCAGTAAAAAGACTCACTGGCATCGCATTTGAGCAACATAAAGAGGCTACTGGATCCTTTATGAAAAAGTTAATTATTGCATATACAACCCTTGGAATTAGGGTTTGCATTCAGCAATGCCGACCCAAAAATGTTTGCGGTAGCAATTTTTTGCCAACCATGTTTTGATGTTTTATGGTAAGATCTTTGGATTTTATGGTAAGATCAATGGAGCAATAAATGCTGTTTTAGGTGCATTACTAAAATAAGGTTCATCTTGGCTGGAAGTTGTGCATTGTTGTACAGTTGTAGTCATTGGCTTGAACTTGAACTAGCTTTATATAATTTATTTAGAAGTTTATTTTCCTTTAAAACTCTTGATAAATTTTTTTAAATTTCTTGATAAATCACAATTCTTTTACTTGAATCAAAAGTTACCAAAGCGTTATCGTTAACTATACGAATTAACCTAAGTTTAAGATAAACCATTTCCTTCCATAATTTTCTAAAATTTCTTTAGAAAATTATGGTGTGTTTATGACACATTGAATCATTTGCTACAGACTCCCAAATGCCAATAAGACCAGAGTTAAAGCAGTAAAAAAAATATGTCAATCTCTATTCATCTGCTGAAATATCTTGATGTTTTATTTTCCTTTTCTAAAAACTTAAACTCAGGCAATTTTTTTTTCTTCAAGATCTTCACTTTCAACTAGGCTGCAAGCAACCACTATTAGAGTTGGAAGTTAAAGTATTGAAAATTATATGAATCTGAAAAACAAGATAAAGGAAGCGAATTCCAAAGGGCTTATGTTCGAGAAAAAAAACTAGGTGAGTAAAAACTTTGGAGCACTTAAAAACAGTCACAGTAAAAGGATAAAACTTTATTGAATGATAAGTAACACGAAAATGAATTTTAGAGATGGCACAAGAGATGCTAACTCTTTAGAGCAGTGCCCATTATAGTATTTATAGAAAAGAGAAAGAGAAGCAACATTACGATAATGTAACAATGGTTGAAGGTTGATTGCAAGAGCAGGTCTAGCTATGTTTACAATGCGTTTTTACACCTTGTCTAAAAGAGAAATGGCATCATTCGAAGATCGGCTTCAGATATGACAACATTCCATACAAGGATGGATTTGAGATTTATAGAGATAAAGAATAGAATCTGGAGTAAGAAAATGGCAAGCACGATAAAGAGATTGCAAACTTAGCAGATGCTAATTTTGCAATCGATTTGATATATGGTTTTCAAGAAATATCGGAAAAAAGAGTTTATCCTAAAAGATGGAGGGTAGATGACTCATTAAGTACCTTACCATTCATAAATATAGGAAGATCTAGATTATTGCAATAACGATTAGCTGAAAAAAAAAAATTATCTGAGTTAAAGTTTGCCAGCCACTGAGAGCCTCATGCTGTACCAAAAGTGAGATCCTTTTTAAGCTCAAATGCCCCCTCCAAGCAATCAGAGAATGTTGGCTTTTTATCAAGACAAGAATAAATGGTAGAATCATCAGCAAACAATGCCACCTTAGATGTGACAACTTTTATACTACATTCTTAAAGATGTTTTCTGATACACCGTAAGAAGAGAACTTATGTAGAAGACCAGCATGCCAAACCTTATCAAAGGCTTTAGAAATGTTAATAACCTTAGCCTCTCCACATCTATCTAATGCGCAATAAAACCTATCAGTTATTACTGTTAACAAATCAGCAGTAGAACAAGAAGATTGAAATCTATATTGATTATCAGAAAGTAAGTTATTAGATTTAAGATAAGAGATTAGGTGTTTGTTAATTAAATACTCAAAAACCTTGCTTATGATAGGAAGAAGACTAATGGGACGGTAGTTATACAAGTCAGATCGCTCTTCAGTATCTTTAAAAACAAGGATAACAGATGCAGGGTGGAAAACAAGACTCTAATACTTGTTAAATATTTTTAAAGTATAGACGATACATGAAGAGAGGGTGTAAGGCCGGTCAACAGATAGAATCTGTTTACCCCTTAAACTTGAGTTTAAGTTTTTACATGGAGAGTTGAGAGTTCAAAAATTTACATGGACAATGGCCAAGCTGAAAATTCTTCTCAAGAATTCAAAAAAATAAAATCATAAAAAATCTGAAATTTAAGTTTATACTTTGAGTTATATTTATAAAAACATAATTTGTTTTATTAAACCAAATTTTTTTCTCTAGCTCTTTTTTATTGCAAAACATATAAACCCATTGAATATAAAAATTAGTTATACTTATTTTTTAGCATTAGAGACGCTTTGAAAGAATTTGAAAAGAGCGAGGAATAATAATAAATTTAGTGTTTTTTTTTTAGTTGTCTCATTCATATTTTTAAGTTGATCTTACTCTTTTTGTCTATTGATTGTGTTTGTGAAAATATTAAGTTTAATATTTTATGACGATGTTTTTGTCATTAAATTCTATTTTAAATAGTTTTTTATAGCTGTTCAAAATGGTTTAAATACTGCAATATTTACTTTTACTTTTTTTAAGTATCATGTTAAGTAAAAACAATTACTAAAAATAATACTGAAGTAGTAGCAATTTCTTAATCTTTATATTATAACTTAAGCTGTAAATTATAACAGTAGCTTAAGCTATTTTAAACCAAAACAAGAATATTATGATATATAATGTAATTTTATATATATAATGTAATTTTATATATATAATGTAATTTTATATATATAATGTAATTTTATATATATTATGTAATTTTATATATATTATGTAATTTTATATATATATATATATATATATATATATATATATATATATATATATATATATATTTATATATATACCAATCACTCTTAACAAGGCTGCAAGCATCCACTATTAAGTTGGGAGCTGATAGAGATAGAGTCTAACTACATTTACAATGTGTTTTTGGTGGCGATTTTAAATAAAAAATTTAAAGGTTTTAAGTAACTCAATTGAATTCAGTTCTAGCAACGTTTTTTTTTTTTTAATTATTTGCTTTTGTTGAAATACAATGTTGGCCTTATCCTTAAAATCTAAAGTTAAGATTTTTACTTCTAACAAATGTTTTAATTATATAAATACATCAACATATATTAATATGTAAATATTTATAAATAAATATTTATTATAGCTATACATCAATATTTTATATTTATACATATTTATATTTATACAATATTTTGTATTTATACAATAATTCATACATCAATATGTTATATTTATTTATGGCCTTTATTTATAAAGTAATTTTATAATTAAAGTTTAATACATTTTTTAGAATTTCTTTGTGAAAACTTGTATCTAAGTGTTGACCCATATATGAGGTAAGATCTTATAAATATTTGTTATATATTATTATTTGAAAAAGTTACTATTTATTATTAATACTTTTTTAATTTCTCAAGGTACTTTGCATCTCATATGACTCCAGGACAAATTATGGTTGGAACTGGTGTTTCTAGGTAATTTTGTTCAAACTACTCTTCTAATAACTGAGTTTTAGAACTATTTCCTAAATGCTTTTTTTTTTTGTGTTGAGTTTTTTTTTTTAAATATCTTTACATTTATTATTTTTTTTTATATTTAGTTATTTTATATTTTTTTTAGTTATTTTATAACTTCTAATTATTTTTATTAATTTTTTTTTAGAGTTATTGAAAGTAAAAATGAAAAATATCCTGTTGGTACTTTACTCACTGCATCTTGCGGTTGGACTACTCATTTTGTACCGAAGGAAATAGATATGCAGCACCCAATGTTCAAAGTGGTTCCCGTAGATTTGCAGGAACCATCTCTTGCACTTGGGGTACTGGGTTTAACAGGGTAGTTATAAAAGATAAACTTTTCTTTTTATTTAATAATTGTTTATATGATTTTTTTCTTCTCTATAACCATAAAAATTGCTTTATTTTGTAGCAGGTTGAGTTACTACTTTTTTTTAAATTGAGTGTTTGACATTTTAGAAACTGTAACTTGGATAACTATTAATCAGAAATTAAGAATCTTTAATAATCTGTCTGTATATTTACTGTATATAAGAAAGTCAAAAAGGCAACATTAGATGTCCTTTTGACTACCAACAAACTTATTTTTTTTGGTTATAATTAATGTTTTACACTTGACGTTTTCTTTTGTTCTTTTTGACATTTTCTTTTGTTCTTTATAACTTTATCTATTCCTAAAATAAGTTTTTATTTGTTTATCTTGTTTAAATATGGCAATCTTTAAATATGTATTAAAATGCAAATGTAAAAGATGTTGCAATGATTTTTTAATTATTATTATTTTTGCTGTTATTTTTGCTCTATTAATGAATAAAGTTGTTATTGTTGTTATTTTTATTTTTTAATTGATATTATTGAGATAATTGTTTGGTGTCACTCCTTTGATCAGGTTTCTGCATGAGTGACACCCCTTTTTTCAATCACTTATTTATATTTATTCCTAATAATAATATTCATTATGATTTTATTGTTTATAATATTATAGATATTAGTTGATCTGACCCTTAAAAATAAATAAATTTGTGAGTCTATTCCACACTAATCTTTGCTATACTTTTATATATATATGTATAAATATATATATATATATATATATATATATATATATATATATATATATATATATATATATATATATATATATATATATATATATAAATATATAAATATATAAATATATAAATATATATATATATATATATATATATATATATATATATATATATATATATATATATGTATATATATATATGTATATATATATATGTATATATATCCTAGCTTTCTGAACCCATAAAATACGGGTCTTTACCAAATCTACATTTCTATACTTATCTATTTCACACCGATCATTTCTATACCTATTATTTGTTTACTATAATATTTTTGCGTAAAATAATTCATTTTAAAAATTGCTTTGAGAGCAAAAAAATTAACATGCACACCCTTTCAGCATACCTAGAGCTTATGAGAGATTTTTAATTAAGTTTTAATTTATCTCTTAACCACATTGATAGCTCAGTGATTTAGTGCGTTGTCATCAGTGTCGCTTTGAGGGATTAAATACAAATACAGCAAGATTGAAATTTTTCATTCTTGCTGTATTTAATAGTAATATTTATAGCAAAAATTTTATAATAGTATATATCTATAATAGTTATAGTAATATTTATACCAAAACAGCATTAATATAACAAAAAAGATTTCTAATTGTTAAAATAAAAATTCAAAAGTTTTCTCATTTCTTATCAATTTATTATACCCAATTGTTCCATATACTGTCTGCAATTTCAACAAATGGCTAAAGACGTTTACGCTTATAGGCGTTTGTATGCAACGCTATCCAAATAGCAGAACTAAGAAGATCTTCGACCATTTAAACTATAGACTATAAAACGCTATGGGATCGCCCATAAATTACGTATTGCTAAATTTATTTTTAAAAAAGAAGGAGATTTTCAGTTCCTTTAGGTGGCGATTTTCATTAAACTTAATGAGTTATTTTAATTTTTTATTTAACATAAGACTCTGCCAGGGAAAATTTAGATCTTTTTTGTTTTGTTCATTAGTGAAATTTAGTGTTGCATAATTTTATGAACAATCCCTCATTTAAAAGTTAAGATTAGGGATCAGCCAAAAATAATGGAGTATAATTCTATTTTGATTGTTATCTAAATTCTGTTGTTGCTGCGCACTCTGTTTAGAATGTTTAGCGGGGGCGTGGTAAAATAGCTACAAGACTCTAAAGTTCCTTATTGTATCAATATTAAATAACTTTAATTTTTAATTATTTTTAAAAGTAATCAATTCAATAAATTGATTTAGTTTAAGTATAAAATTAAATCATTTTATTGAATTGAAAGTTCAAATCATCAACTTTATTTTTTAATTTTTGTTATTTAAAATGCAAAACAAAACAACTTTACAGTTCTATAGATTTTATATTCTATATTTAAACATGTTGTATACTCACTTTTCTTGCACAACTCAACTTAGATGGAAAAAAACTTGAAATGTAAAACTAAAATAACATATGTATCTCAATCATGACACATACGCAATATTTATCTCCCCATTTTTAATGTTTTTAGAATTTTTAGCTTTTTTAAAAATCTTTTTGTTTGTTAAAGTGTAAGTTTTTAATTATATATCAAATTTTACAGTTTTTAAGTCAAACTGTAAAACTTGATATATGTTTAAGTATGTTTTAACATTACATAATATGAAGTTTACATACGTACGATATAGGTTTCATATTTCCTCACGTATTCTTATAAAGCAAAGCTGAGACTCTTTCTTGTCAATACATCAGTTGCAATGGCTGCCAAGGGTTTTGTGTCAAACATGCTCTAAGGGACACTGCTACTACTAGTACTATTAAAACTATTAAGTTCGGCAATAATATATAGAGATTCTTGTTTTTATTCTTCTTCTTATTATTATTGTTGTTGTTATTATTTTTATTGTAATTACATGATTGTAAATTTTAATGAAAATAAATATTGTTGTTGTTGTTGCTGTTGTTATTGTTGTTGTTTGTTTTTTTAATTTATAAATACTTGAAATCATTTTACCTCAACTTAAATGTCATTAAAATAAAAAAGATTTAATCAAACCCTTTTTTTTCACTTAAACCAGTTTTTAAATTACTAAATTTTTTATTCCGAAATCAACCTACCCAATTGTTCAGTAATATTTTTATTAAAACTTTAAATTTTAAAAATTTTAGCCTTACTGCTTATCATGGTCTTTTTGATATCTGCGCACCAAAATCTGGTGAAACTGTATTTGTAAACACAGCTGCAGGTGCTGTTGGAAGTATAGTTGGACAACTTGCTAAATTAAAAGGCTGCCATGTTGTTGGATGCACAAGCTCTGATGATAAAGTTGCTTACTTGAAAGAGTTAGGATTTGATGGAGCATTTAACTATAATACAGAAAATATGAAAGAAAAGTTAAAGGAGCTCTGCCCAAAAGGAATTGATTGCTTTTTTGATAATGTTAGTTGTTGAGAAATTAATTGTTTTTTGCTATAATTTTTAAATTATAGAATTTCAATTATATTATATTGGTTGTTATTATATTGTGTTTTTATTTTGTTATTATATTGTGTTTTTATTTTGTTTTATATAAGGGTTGATTGGAACTTTATTGTGCGATTTTTTTATTAAATACAATGATTAGTTGAATTTTATTGTGTGGTTACTTTATTTTATACAGTATTTACACTAGTCAACAATTTGACAACAATTTCTTGTATCTGATTTTTTTTTTCTTCTGTTATATCAATGCTTGACTACAGAAATGTCTTAATGCTGTGACCACATAAATGTATTAATACTGTGACTACAGAAATTTCTTAATACTGTGACCACAGAAATTTCTTAATACTGTGACCACAGAAATTTCTTAATACTGTGACTACAGAAATTTCTTAATACTGTGACCACAGAAATTTCTTAATACTGTGACCACATTAATTTCTTAATAATGTGACCACAAATATATCTTAATACTGTGACCACAGAAATATTTCAATAAGATCTAGTGTTAAAAGTATTAGAAAAAATTATTTATCTTCCTTTTCGCAAAGTTTAAAACCTAAGTTAATATTATTTAAATAGAACTTTACCATAAATGTTATAAAAATACTTCTAAATCCTTTGTAATAGTTTTATACAAATTCTTGCCTGTTGTATATACATGTCATTTCAGGCATCTCTCATCCAGTCCAGCAATAGTCTGCTAATATTGCAGGATTTTTATAAAACACACATTACTTCGGAATTTCTCTTTGAGGTGTTTAAAAGACTGACCACCTCTGTTCATTGTCTTTACAAAAAAATTTTTTTGGTCCCAGTTATACTTGTGGCAAGATACAAGGTCATTTTTTATACCAAAAAACTAAACTCTTGTGGTGGTTACTGTATATTGAAGTTTTTACATTCTCTTTCAGCAGATTCCACTGCTTTAGTCTAGAAGCCAGAATATCTGCTTTGTTTTTTGACACTTAAAATATCATTAAAATATCAAATATTAAATAAATCTTGCACTTAAAATATCAGTGGCATCAATTTTCCATCAATTTATGCATCGGATACATATGATATTATCATAAAAACTAGAGCTAAACAATGTTTAGTAATGTCATATTCTTTTTCATCATATCAAAATTAGTTATAATTTGTTGATTTCATCATGTTATGTTGATTTCAAATTAGTTCATGATATGTTGATTTCAAATTAGTTATAATTTGTTGATTTCAAGTTATAATTTGCTGATTTCATTGCCAATATATTTTAGCCGTTGACCAGTTTAATTGATTGTATTAGCTTTCGTTGTCTATACATTTTGGCTGTTGACCAGTGTAATTGATTGTATTAGCTTTCATCGTCTATACATTTTGGCTGTTGACCAGTGTAATTGATTGTATTAGCTTTTATCATCTATACATTTTGGCTGTTGACCAGTGTAATTGGTCGTAGACTTAAGTTAAAATAATAATCTTTTGGCTAAAAAAACAAACTTGAAAATAATATTTAGATAAAAAATATAGAGTCTGTTTAGATGCAGAGATTTAGAACCTTATTAAAAACTTATCTAGAAGTTAGCTTTTACTTTGGTTTTACTTATGACTATTTGTGTTTAACAGGTTGGTGGTTCCCAGTTTGACATTGCGTTGTCAGAAATGAATAGACATGGTAGAGTTGCATTATGTGGCTCGATATCATTATACAACGAAAAAGAAATGTCCCAAGTCAAAGGTTAAATTCATTTGTTTTTAATTTTAATAGAAAATTAAGAAAAGCGAGTACAACTATTTCAACTGTTTTTAATTATTTTCTAGTTATTCAATAGTATATAATAGAAATTCTCTCTTTTTTTTTTCATAGTAACAAAAAATAAACAACTCAGATTATTAGCAAGTTGTTTATCTGATAGTATAAAAATTAATTTAAAAAATTTTTAGGATTAAGATGTTGAGTCAAGTTTACAATTTTTTCAATTCAACAGATTTAAAATCAAACGATTTCAAAAGATTTAAGATTTTAAAATTAATATTTTTGCATCGTGAGAGAAATATTAAAATAATATTAACTTATTTGTTATTCAAAGCATCATTTCAAAATTTTATTTTACAGAAGAAAAAAAACTTCAATTTAATTAAATTATTTGTTACTAATTTTATTTAAACTAATTATTTATTATTAGTTGTAAATTTTTAATTGATATACGATAATTTTTTGCATAAACTAATTTATTTGTTTAACAGTTTGTGTAATACTTGTTTTAAAACCATTATAGTTAAATTATTATTTATTTAGGTCCTTATGTCCATCTTTTTGCTATTCACAATGAACTGAAAATACAAGGTTTCATGGTGTTTACTTTATACAAAGATCGATTTGTTGAGGCTTTTAAGGAGATGCATGGATACTTAACAGAGGTATTTTACAATTAAATTTGGTTTGATAACATCTCAGATTTATTATATTTGTGATAGGTTTCCAGTAATTTAGAAAGCCATGAAAGTTTTAAGGTTTTGGGCTTAACATCTAAGCTGGGACTCTGTAACAGTTCCATTTTACTATGGCTAAATATGTCATATATTAAATATTTTTAAAAGAGATAAAATATTATTATTTTTATTTTCAAAACAGTTAAAAGCAGTTAAAATTCAAAACTAAACTTGAAAAATACAAAACAGTGTTAAAAACTCTCTGCAGGTATTAATACTTTCTGAATCTGGTTCAGATAATAGCAATAAGCAGTCAAAATAAAATCAAGGTATTCTAAATTTATTCTCTAAGAGATGCAAATCATAGTTTAGTGAGTTTTAAATCCATTAGATATATACCTTATTTTTTTAAATTCACTCAACTCAGTTTTTTCATTTGTTTAAAGTTTAAACAACTTAAAACTTTTAAAACTAAAAATACAGATACTTCATTTAATATAAGGTACTCTTGTGTGCTTAATACAAGGGAGGGACAGGGTGGAAATAAAACGGGTGTGTGGGAAAATTAGTCCATATTTGATAAACAGGGGATGGGGTCTTAATAAAAGGATAAGTAGAAGTTTTTTACAGAGCGCGCATAAAACAATTTAATTCTAGTGTGGCTTACAGTCAAATGAATTCAGATATCTGCAAAAAACTCAAGGGATAATCAGGGAAATTAGGTTAAATTTTAGAAAAATCAAATAAATTTTAGAAAAATCAGTGAGAAAACAGGGAAAATGGCTCTTCATCAAAATTACATAACTTAAATAAGTTGAAAAGGTATACGTAATATAAAAGTTTTTTTTGGCAGATAATTTTATGAACTTCTCTTGATACATTTAATATGAGTTGTATTATTGTTTATATTTTTGCAGTTGAAGAGCATTTTTCTAAACAAATCTAGGTCAATTTTTGTGAAGTTGAGTTTAGGTAACTTTAAATTAAATCAGGGAAAACAGGTAGAAGATCAGGAAAATATCAGGGAAAGGTCAGGGAAATCCACCTTAAAATATTGGCAGACACCCTGTATATATACTTTCTGATTTTTTTTCCCTATTTTTGAGATGTTATTTCTAAATAACAGGTAAAAATTAATAAACAGAGAGGAAGGGGGGTCTGAATAAGCTTGAGGTGGGTGGGAAAAGTTTCCAAAAATTAACAAACATCCCCCTTGTGTATTAAACACCGAAGAGTATCTTCAAGCCACAAATAAAAACTTCCCTTTATCCACTGGTAGGAAAAGGGCTTGGTCAATTTGATTAGAAATAGCATCAAAAAGAGTGCAGTCTTGGAAAGAAGGGAAAAAAAGAAAAACAAAAAAAAAAAGGTGATTGAGTTAAAAGGTGCTAAACAAAGTACATAAAAGTCAATTAGAAAAAAAATTCAAACCTGATTTTATAAAAAATAGCTGAATTGGTATGTAAGTACCATATAAGTATTAACTATTGGTATGTAAGTATATGCCACGACCACGGCATTAACTATTGGTATGTAAGTATATGCCACAGCCAAGAATTAACTATTGGTATGTAAGTATATGCCACGGCCAAGCATTTACTATTGGTATGTAAGTATATGCCACGGCCATGGCATTTGCTATTGGAATTTATATAAAGGATAATAGTCATCAACACTAAAGATCCAAAGTTAAAACACCAAAATTTTAATTATTCTTACAAAGAACAAGTAGGTCCGGTAAACTTTGCAAAAAGTAAGCTTTATGCGTTGAAAACCACAAATATTTTTAAAATATATATTAAAACAGTTTAAATATTTGTTTTTTTTGTTTAGTATTTTTTTTACTATAGTTTTAATTTATTGGAGAATTTGAATGAATCATAATGCATAGCACCATATGCAATAAGCTATGCATTTGCCTGTCAGTCTTGTACTGATTACATTTGTAATAAAGAGCTCTTTAAATGACCTTGACTATACTTACTGAAAGCACTAATAGGGACATAAATATTTTGTAGCTGTTGTTGTCAGTCTCTCTGAGTGCTACAACAGAGTGCTACAACATTGTAGAATCCTTACTACCAACCGACCTCAGAAACCATTGAACTTCTCCTAGTCTTAGTCTAGAAAACAAGCTCCTCTAAAATAAAAAAGCCATGTAGCAGGTTGTACCTGATTACATTTTACCAGTAGCAAGGTGATCACGATGGTACTGACTTGACTTGAGAAAATTCTTATTATAAGGGTTTCAATATCTTTTACACTATAAAAAAAGCTCTAAAGTTGGAAATTATGAATTTTTAACTTGACAATACTTACATTTATTGGAAAAATATTAGGTTACAATGGTGAAATTCTGATTATGAAAGTGCACCATTTTGACTTGTGAAACTTGGTTGGTGATAAAGATTGTATTCAATTTATATTATTGTATATCAGTATACATTATCATGGTACATACGTTATTATAGTATATCAATATACGTTATAATGGTATATATACTGGTATATATAATGGTATATATGCTGGTATATATAATGGTATATATACTGGTATATATAATGGTATATATACTGGTATATATACTGGTATATATACTGGTATATATAATGGTATATATACTGGTATATATAATGGTATATATACTGGTATATATACTGGTATATATAATGGTATATATACTGGTATATATAATGGTATATATACTGGTATATATAATGGTATATATACTGGTATATATAATGGTATATATACTGGTATGTATACTGGTATATATAATGGTATATATACTGGTATATATAATGGTATATATACGTTATAATGGTATATATACGTTATCGTGATATATCAATACACATCATTATGATATATCAATATATGTTATTATGGTATATCGATACACATTATTATGCAAATACTTGATCTTACTTCATTATCATCAATCTTAAATATTTACACTATTGTTATAAATTCTACTTGGCATTGTTTTGTTTATCAATTATGGTCTTAATTATATTTTTCCTTACATTACGTTTTTATTAGATTGTTATCTATTATCGGATTGTTTAAGCCTAAAATGCTCCTGAAAGTATTTAACTTTTTTTCTCCGCCTAGTGACCTTGTTCCTCAAGGTTCGTGTTTTAAAGTTATAGAGTTGAACAAATATTAGATGTTGAAAACTTTGTAAACTTTTTTAAGTTTTTCAATAAATTCATTATAATTCGGTATTATTTCTCTACTTTTTTAAAACGAAAATCTTCATAAATGAAATAATTTATTTCTAACTAGGTTTAATTCCACCGTGGATTAACTGTGTTAGAAATTGGTGTTGTTGAGCGTTAGTGGTTGGGTAGGATAAGGAGGTCGGGCGGAATCTTATACTTGTGTATTTTAATAATTCAATACTTATTTATTTTTAATTTATATTTTAGGGAAAAATTTCAGCTCGCGACCATGTTGTTGAGGGATTCGAAAATATGCCAAAAGCGTTAATTGGATTATTTCACAGTGTTAATGTTGGAAAAGTTGTTGTTAAATGTTAAATAAATAGATAATAATAAATTTCTTTAATGTCATGTCTTTTTTTTTGTGATTAATGTGCCAAGGTTTTTTATCATATAGACCAGATATTTAATATATTAATGTTTTTTGTTTTATAGACAAGATGTTAAATGTGTCCATGGCCTACTTAAAGTATACGGCCTAATATTCCGCATTTTAGCCGAAAAAATAGAAGGCCGGCCCTATATTTTTAGTGGCCGGCCATTAAATAGAATTACTATTCTATAAAAGCAAAGAAAATAAACAAAGAAAAAGCGTTAAAATACTTTTATTCAAGAAAAAAAAAAGATTAGTTAAAAAAAGAAGTTTTTTTAAGCCTTAGATAAATAAAGAAATGTTTTTTTTAAGTAAAACATCTTGTGCTGTTAATTTCAAATTTATGTTGACTCATGCTTATTGCGTTGTCTTTTTTGAAAACTAACTACGTTATCCATATAACCTCCATAAGTAATGATGATTCTTTTATTATTGAAGAATATATTACTTATTACTTTTTCAGATTCCCAAGTTTTAGATGCTTTTTTAAAATGAAATGAGCAGTTGTTCTATATGGCAAGTCAGTTTTGTTAATAGTATTAATTATCTGAAAAATCATGTTTATTTTTCCAATCAATAGTTTATCGTACCATTTATCAAATTTTTTTTTTTTTATTCCAATACAACCTGCAATATAATCTCTACTATCGTCTGATAAAGATACATTATTTGAAGAAGAGCACTTTGGTTGGTCTAAAATTTTTTTTTTTTTGGAAATATCATAGCCTTCTTTAACGAAACTTTTAATTTTGAGAATTCGTTCTGAGCACAAAACATTTTGTAAGCTCACTAAAAACCTGCCATCGCTTATTTGTCGCTTTGAAATCTAGCAGCCATGACAAATTTATAACCATCATTTAAAAGATCTTCAATTAAAGAGACATGACAATTAAGTGTTTGTTGAATTGCTAAACTTGTTTGAGCAAATATAACAAACCTCTCACAGTTTATAATTTTTTGTTTTTCTTAAATACCCATCCCTAATACCATTAGTCTAGTCAAATTAGGACTAAAAATGAGCTAACCTGGACAAAATTTGGAAATAAATGAATTTGGTATTATTTAAAGCGTAATTTTATCAAATTTAATATATCCAAAATCCACCAAAGTTCACTTTGGGCAAAAAAAGTTATAACTATTATTACTGACTTCACTTTTTAGATTAAAAAAAAAAAACTAAACCCGTCCGACTTGTTTTTAATAAGTTGTGATAGTTCAGCGAAAAATGACGCGATTCATATAATTATTTGTAAAAACATAGTTTAAAGTTTACAAATAATAAAAATGTAAACATTATTTACATAAAATGCTGACATCAGCATTTTTTACTTAAATACCAGCATTGGATGCTCAAAATGCGACAATTTTTCTTTTCAAATAATATATTTTGTGTACTTGGTAAACTGTAGAGCCGTATGTTGATGTTGTTAAATATTATTTTTAAATTTCACGTTTTAGTTTCAGATATATTGTTAAATATATCTTAAATTAAAATATACAATGTTGAACACATTAAAAGATACTTGTTTGCTTTACAAAGACCTTCCTAATCAAACGATAAATGTTGTAAGGAAAGGTATTAAAACCTTAATTCATTATTCACAAGTACGCAACGATAAAGACCTTGAAAAAGAACTTAAGGAAAGGAACACGGTTGTTGTCCATGTGGCATGCAGGCGTGATTTTACAAATCCAAATAGAAAAGTATTAAAATGTCAAATGGAAAGCCCTAAAATTAAAAAATTGCGTTCAGTAAGATATTTTTGTATTTACTCAATCTTGTGCTTGTGTCACTGATCCATACAATTAACTATATTTATATATGAAGGAGTCATTTTGTTCAATTATGTTCTTTTAGCTGTTTTTTGTAAATTCATTGTGCGGTCTCATCATAACGACATGCCACTTGCTTAAAAATAGCAAAACACTAGTTTAATATATATATTTTTTTATAAACATGTTTATTTTTAACTTAGACCGACATATTCAATTGGAAACGATGCTGCTTCATTTGTGGTAACCTAGCATTACCCGATTCTAAACATCGTGATCGTAAAGTTGTAATACAGGTGCATACAATAAAATTTAAACAAAGTCTGCTTAAGGTTTGTGAAGACAGAATAGATATATGGGCAGTTGAAGTAAAATCTCGTTTGAATTGCTCTTGTGATCTGGTTGCAAGTGATGCTATGCTACCACTTTGAATGTTATAAGCTGTTTTCAACCAACAGCTTTTAATTCCAATATATTTGAATTGATTTATCTTCTCATGTTATAGCAAGATATAAAAAATGTTATTAAATGCAATTAACAAGTACTAATTGCAAATGATAAAGTGATTTGTAGTTTTTTCATAATAAAGTAACAAATTGACCAATTCTAACCGAGTTTTGAATTTTTATATTCGTTATGTGTATTTTTATGTTTCATATGTTAATCTCGAAAGTCCTAATATATTTACAGGTCAAATTTGATTGAAACAAAAAAACCTGGTCGCAAAGAAAATTCAACAATGGCGGAACACTTTGTAAGGCTTTGTGATTGGTTTGAGAGTCAAATGGGTCCTGTCACAACTACTGAATTGCACATTAAAGTGAAAAAGCTAGCGAATTCCAAAGATATTTTTTCAATGAAGCACTTAAAGAGAAAATTAGAAGAAAAATACAAAGTGTAATTCTTACAATAACTTAAACGGCATAAAGCTTAATGCTGTCAAAACGGAACTACTGCTTTCCGGAATAAGACAATTAACTAATTACAAGATAACCATCAAATAATTGCAAATGAAAAACTTAACCATCTTGGCTTTACTTGGGATACACAAAAATCTTTATTTGCCTCACTCAATAGAACAAATATTAACAATAGGATATCAAAATTTCAAACAACAGTGCAAACTCTGATTCAATCTGGTATCCAGTTTATACATCCATCTTCAATTATCCAACTATATACATCGTTAGCAGTTCCGACGCTAACGTATGGTCTGGAACTATGTGAAAATAGAGAGATAACAATGCAAAGACTTAATAAACTTGGAAGAAATGCAGTTAAGTCATTTTTCAATGTCTCCAAGTATAGCTAAAACTATATAAACTCTCTATTTAAAGTTTGTGAGATATCAAGTTACATACAACAAAATAAAATAAACCTATTTATTCGTCTATTAAATAATAATGTAACTTTTAAAATCATCAATTCTCAGCTTAATTATTGTTCAGTAAAGTATTCATTTTTAGATGACATAAAGGAGTTATGTAAGATCCATGAACTTAATATAAAAAACCTAATTCAGGATTAGAAGAAAGTGAAAATTGAAATTTCAGAAAATATAATCCCTGAAGGTACTTATCAAATTCTAGTTCAGGCAGTTGAATGTTGGAATTCAAAGCAACAGTGAACAATTTTCAAAAATACTCTTGAAGAAAACATTCCAAAGTGATCTATTTATTTCTCTCTTTTTATATTCTAAACTATTTTAATCTATTTTTACCTTGTAAACATATTTACAGAGGGTGTTTTTATAAAATGATAATATAAAGGTGACATAATTATTAGCCAAACTGAAGGAAAATCTAATTTAGTATGCTTTAAAGATGCAACTACACTTATTATTAACAAATCTAAGTCAGAGAACATAGATACAAACAAAGATGAAGTTATCGTTAGAACCGCGGTCAAGTTGATAAAGACAGAAGTTTTAAATCTTAAGTTCAGTACAGAGAATTACCCATCTAAATACGATATTGAGCATTATGAAGAAAGTTTAAGCCCAGTGCTTCGCCTCTTTATGTAACAAATTACAACTGACCAACTAAAACAATCTTCCATTGGTCAAACTATAACAAAAGCTATTCGATCAAGGTTTTACGTCCCACTTTTGTCTTTTGGTTTAGGAATAGAACTAGATCACAAGTTTGCATCAAAATGGTTGACAAATGAGCTATTTAAACTAGGCTTTTGCATAAGTCCATCAGAAATAACACGCTTTAAACACTCTGTTATGGCTAACGACGATAACATTGCTGAAGGAGTGCTGAATAGATTATTTACTCAGTGGGTGGCAGACAATGTTGATCATAATATCTGCACATTAGATGATAAAGACACTTTTCATGGGATGGGAATCATCGCTGCTGGAATGATGAACTCTAAAGTTTTAGATAATCTTCATCGAATTAAAAGAATAAGATATGGTTTAAAGGCAGCAGAAATAAATTCTAAAATAAATATTCTAATTTTGTTGTATGGCGTTCCTGACACAGCAGCATTAACAAAAATATTGTTCAAGCTTATTGTTGAGCTTCAGTCACCACAGACCTTTTCACCGTCGCTTGGCATTGATCTTTTCTGGCAAAGCTTGTTCAATACAACGGCTGGTGAGAACCGGGCACAATGGAGTGGGTTTATGCAACTTCATCATAATGGTAAATCTCATCCCGGAAAAAAGTGAGGTATTCATGGCGTCTATCATTAACTTAAATCCATCTGAAGAAAACTGCATTTATTCTACACTAGTTTTTATAGAAAACCAAGCAAAATTAATGACTTTACCTACTCCAAGTGTAACTTTTGATCAGCCTTTATGGTTAAAAGCTTACGAAATTGCACAGTCTAAGCAATTAGATATAGTTATTCAATTGGGAGGACTCCACATCTTAATGAGCTTCCTAGGAAGTATTGGTATGGTCATGGAGGGATCAGGACTAAATAAATTACTCGAACTTTTTATGCAAGCAACTCTGTCACGCATATAATGACTGGTAAAGCAGTAGCTCGAGCACTAAGAGCTCACTTCCTAGTTGAGTCTGCCTTAATGAGTCTACTTTTTAAACAAAACCCCAAAGATGAAGCTGATAGTTCTCTAGAAAATATGTATCAGTATCTGGTTCAAGGAAACATGAATTTGGAAGAGATAAACAATAACTTATAAGATTCACAAATCTTATTGAAAATTTAAAAATACAGCTTTC